ATATATTTATTATATTAGATATAACAACATAATTAAAATATAATTAATAATATATATTTTATAAAATTATTAATATTTTATATATAAAAAAGATTGAAAAAAATTCTGGAACCAGAACGACCCGTTCTGGTTTCATTTTTAGTGTGTTAATTTTGCTCCTGGAACGGGCTGTTCCGGATGCAAAATTAACACACCAAAAGTGAAACCAGAACGGCCCGTTCTGGTTTCAGAACAGGCCGTTCTGGTTTCAGAACAGGCCGTTCTGGTTCCAGGTGTTTTAAAAAAAAAATTGGCATCCACGTGGGATCCACCTATGCATCTACGTGGCTCCACGTGACCAACAGTTAACTCCATTTAAATAATTTGGACAGAAGTCCCAAATTGAAACCAATTAATTTATTTGGGACTAAATTGAAACCAATTAATTAATTTGGGACCAAATTGAAACCAAAAATAAAAGTGGGACTAAATTAAAACAAACAATTATTATAAGGGACCAAAATAGGTTTTTAGCCAAGAATTTTAAAAGACTTTTTTTTTATTTAATTGAGACATTTTAGTCTCTTATGTAACACCTAAGTTTGTATAAAAATTAATGAGTGTTTTTAATAAAATAAAATGGGTTTTAGAAGTAATCTAGAGGTTTTTGAAAATTAATAATTGTGCTCTTCACATAACTAAGTGTGATTTTATTTAAATAATTATGGCTCATGAAATTATATATTATCATATTAATTTATTTGAGAGAGATGTATTTTATTTATTATGTTTTCTTTCAATAAAAGAAAAGGGATGGTTTTAAAAAGAGAAGTTTTAAGATGAATCAGTCAGTTTACTCTTCGTGTTTGTCCCCTATATGTTCATTTTCTCTGCAAACGAAAGAACTGTCTAGAGAGTAGGAAATTGCTAGAATAGGATCGATCCTGATATTTCATGGACCCTAAGCAACACAATAAATTAAGACCTCTTAAATATAAATATTAAAACATAAAAATATATTTTATAAAAATAATAGACACATATTTTTATTAAAACAATTATACATCTTATTATATTAAGTTCATAATATAGTTTAGTGAAATGAAGTATATTAATAACATGTAATACACTTTTATTTTTAAAATAATTTTTATCTAAAAGATATGAAGTTATCTATACATAATATGATTGCAATAGGTCAAATGTTGTGATTTAGTAGGGTCTATAGCCCATTGCTCACCTCTACTATAGGAGATTTTCATAATTGACATTAGTTACTTATTGTTGTACCTATGTTGATTATGTTGCTATGAGGAAGTCGTTAAGATGTTTTGTGATCTTGTAAGTTGTTGAAATGGTATGATAATGTTGTTTATAAGTTGACAATTAATGTGTAGAGTTGCATAAGATGTTGAACAAGTTGCTTATGTTTTATTGTTGTAATTATCATGTATTTTCTTTGTGATAAGAACTGCTATAATCATACTTGGTATAAAAGTAACGCAAGATTAACGAGTTGGCATGTCTAGCAATTGGAGGATCATATTGTGATGACCTCTTTTGGTGGTGTCATTATACTCTGTTGTGACTCAGTTGTTGTATAAATACTTGACCGATGACTATGGGTCTTTTGTAAACAATTATGTAGGCTTTATATTTGTACAGGATGTGTATATATATAACTCCATAAGGGAATTTATGATTTTAGTTTTATGTTTTTGCCTCATACATGTATAAATGTCATAAATGATTAAATAATTGATGCATAAGAACTCTAAGATAATTGGAAGTTCTTCACCTTTTTCCCCTACCTAGTAGTTGATCTATAGTAAGTGTAGTGACAAATTGTTACACTAATTGGTAAGGGAATTTTTTTTTCATATTCAAGAATCATAATTCTTGGAAATTACAAATCCTAACAATTATAATTCCTAGAAATAGCTAAAATATCTTTGGTTACTCATAAAAGCTCGTGAGAATATTTATATTGGATTCTTGGGAATTAAAAATTTTCATGCTACACTACTATATTCCTACTAATATAAATATTTTTTACAAAAATATCTTTTATTAAAATAAACTTATTAGATATGTTCATTTACTCAAATATTATTATAAATATGACATTAAACTGATTTTAAGAAGTTACAAATTTATAGTTCAAATTATTCAAATACAGAATTCAACAAAAAAAATAACACAAAGGAAAATGCTACATAATAATTAAGAAGGATAAAAATACATATTTTATTTCATCAAATTAATTAATTAATTAAAAAGTATTAACGAATACCATCAAACTATAAAAGTAAAATAAATTTTAATAATATTATTGAAATTGACAAGGTCAAGAAATAAATACAAGAAAGAGAGAGAAATAAAGATGAGACAAAGATATGGGAGAGGGAGAGGGAGAGAGGGGGAGAAAGAGAAATAGAAGAAGAAAGGGAGAGGGAGAGACAGAGGGAGAGAGGAAGAGAGGGGAATGAGAGTGAGAGAGGGAGAAAGAGAGAGAGAGAGAGAGAGAGGAGTGAGAGTGAGAGAGATATAGAGTAGATAGAGAGAGAAAAGAAATAGAAACAAAAAGAGAGAGAAAGAGAGAGATTTTATTTTTAAAAAATATATTATGGCATTTTTATATCCATTAAATTTTTCTCCTAATTTAAAAAAGTTGGATTCCAATCTCCATGATTTTTTTTTTTTTGTGAAAACATAAGATAAAAGTAATTCTCGAAAAATTATATTTCTAAGTAATTTTTAAAAAGTTATAAAATATGATAAAGTAAGATTACGCTTCCTAAAAAAGGATAAAAAATTAGTAGTGGTAATAATTTTAAAGTTAGAGATGAAAATAGGTCAAGTCCTAAATATAGTCTGACTTCTTTAAAATCTAGTCTAATCTGACCTATTAAATAAAAAGGTCAAATTTAGACTTTTAAAAATTCTATTTATATAAAAAAGACTAAACTTAAATTTATAAAAAAAAAAAGTCTGTTAGATTTGATAGGTTAAACTATTAATTTATATAATATAATAAAAATTAATATATATATATATATATATTATTTAAAATATAAATAACCGATCTTATAAATAAATAATTTATAAAAACAAAAAACAAATATTTTCAAATATTTTTTATACAATCATCTTTTTTATAAAATAAAAATAAATTATTAATATTTTAAAAAATCATACAATTATTTTTTTAATTATAAATTTATAGAATTGACTCAATTCATATATTCAAAATCTGATATCACATGATATATTCCTATCTATATTTAATATGATAAGTTATGAAAAAGAGGAGAACCCAATTGGACTTCAGATCGATCCCATTCTCTTTCATATTCATTCTTTGTATGTTTTTGTTTGACACAGCATTCATTCTTGTCCCCAACCCATTCTCTTTCATATTCATTCTACGTATGTTTTTGTTTGATACAACATTCATTCTTGGCTCGTCAATCACTTGAAACAACGTCAAACATACATAAAAAAAAAAAAGTTATACAAATACTTTATTATGACCTAGATTATATATTTATAAAAAAAAAGTAAATAATTAATCTTATTTAATAGAAATCAAATTACGTTGAATAAGTTTTTCGGAATCCAATTTGTATTGGTCCAACATTTCACTACATTATGATAATTAATAACTCTTAACAATATATTTTATAACATTATTTTAGACATATTTTCTTGATCAAAATTTATTAAAAAATATCAAACCATAAATAATAATAATATTATAAAATAAAAAAAGTAACCTCAGATAAAGATACGTTCGAAAGTGAAGTTATGAACAAACAAATTAAACCCAAGCATGAGCACACGGTTTTCTCTTCTGTATCTATCTATAAAACGAAGGAACAAGAAGTAAAAAAAATGGAATACAATTTCTCACTGAACCAAACGCTAACAACTCACCGATGCGGAGCGATCCGTTAAAGTGGGGTGTGGCTGCGGAAGCATTGAAAGGGAGCCACGTGGAGGAAGTGAAGGCGATGGTGAGGGATTTCCGGGGGAAGGAGGTGAGGCTGGGCGGCGAGAGCATGAGGGTGGGGCACGTGGCGGCGGTGGCGGCGTCGACGGCGAAGGTGGCGGTGAAGGAGGCGATGAGGAAGGGAGTGAATGCGAGCAGCGAGTGGGTGATGGAGTGCTTGAAGGAAGGGTGGGATTGTTATGGGGTCACAACGGGCTTCGGTGCCACCTCACACAGGAGAACCTCTCACTTTAGGCCTTTGCAAATTGAACTCATTAGGTACTTGCTTTTTTTTCTATGTTATGGGTATTCTTATTCTATTCCTTTTCAAAACATTAGGTAAGTTATAAGTTTTGAAATTTTTCATGGTTTAACTTGATTATTAATCATTAATCATTAATAATAAGAGAATATTTTTAATTACTTTTAAAAAATATTTCCTCTATTCCTCCTGTTGAGACACGTAAGAATTAAAAATGAACTTTTTTTATAAAAAAAAAAAAGAAAAAGAAGAAGTAATGTTATATTGAATTTTAAAAATGATATATAAATAGAAAAAAAATTAAAAAAATAATTGACAATTTAAAAGAAATGAAAATAATGTAAAATAATTGTCGGAATAGTCTTATGTACTTTACATAAATACATAATTAGACAATAATATTTATATTACCGATGCATTCTAATTAACTATTTTAAATTTACCCCTAATTTCTTCTTAGTTACATAATGTTTAATTATTTTATAATATCCTATAATTTTTTCAACTTTTCTAACTATATTTTATTGAATCAATGTATGGTTATTAGAATATTAAAATTGATGAGACATTATAATGATAATTAAAATGGAGTGAAAAAAATAATAGAATTGGTGAATATTTTAATAAAATTAATTTTGAAGTTTATAGGGTTAGCACTACTAGAAAAATGTCATTTTCTTGCGAATTTTCCTACAAAAAAATATTCGTAGAAATTTTTTATGAATTTTTTTGCAATAATAATTTCACAAAACTTTTTTATGAACTTATTTGTGAAAAATAATTTACAGATATTTCTTACAAATTTTTTTATGAAAAATAATCTACAAGAAATTTTTGCAAATTTTGATATAATTTTAATGATCATAGAATTTTTTTTCCAAGGTAAAAATTTGCAAAAAATATTGTAAGAATTTTATTTTGTTTCTTGCAAAAATAAATTTGCAAGTAATGTTCATTAAATGGTAGAAAAATTTCGCAGGTAAATTTTCCTGCGGATTTTCCTGCCAATTTTAATCCGCAGGAAAAATAAAAAAAATATTTAAATTTATAAGTTCAATATTTTAAAAAAAATTCAAGTCTCACATCGATTAAATATAAAATAATTAAAGAGTATATAAGTTGGGACAACACTTACCTTACAAGTTGATTTGTATGGTTGAGTGTTAAGCTTATAATCTACAATTTTAGAATTTAAAAGATTATGTATCACATGTTGGAGGCGTGGAAACAAATGTTTCGGATGAATTCATTATGAGTATTTGAAAGTTGAAGAATTATTAGTAGAATTTGTAGTAATTTCTTTAATTTTCTTTTGTAAAAAATATTCATGCATAATTTTTTGTAAAAAAATTCTCAGGAAAATTTTCTGCGAATTTTCTTTTATAGGAAGCTTTCCTGCGAATTTTTTCGCAGGAAAATTTCTTTTAAATTTAAAATTCACAAAAATATATTATACATGAGAGTATTACTTGCAAATAAAATTTCGCAGAAAAATTCATAGGAATAATGTTTGTTACGGATTTTAATACAAAATTTACAAGAAAAGTCGCATGTAATTAATAAGAGAAATTCTAGTAAGGTAGGGTAAAGTCTCTCTCGAACTCAAGTATTTGTATTGTAGCTTACTATTTCCGTTCTAATTAATTTATCATATAAAATGCTTAGATTTCTATATATTTAATATAAAAAAATGTAAAGGTATAAAACTTCAATTTTTAAGTTTGCGGTAAGCGTCATATAAATCTGGCTATTTATTTCCGAGTTTCATCTAATTTTATCTAGGAAAATATGATATTTATTTTTGAGAAATTTTTATTATATTCTATTTCTTTTAAGAGATGTGATTTTATATATATTATATTTAATATTTTTTATGTTTCTTAAATTTTATTTCTTTTACACTAATTATGTGACAAAATCTCAAATTTTCAAAATAAATATTTTTATATTATTTCCATTTTAAATATTAAAATATTCATTACATTTATTTTTAAAAATATATCCTATTTTTTAAAATATGAGCTACTTATATAATTATATTGATACGAAAAACACTAGATAGATAATTAGAAATGTGACATGCAGAAGCGAATTTCAGATTTTCTACTACGGTGAATAAAACTTCTGAACCCCGTAATAGTTTTTCTTTTGTCTACAAACAATGTGTTTACACACGAACCAAAAGGGTAAATTTTAATTCAATGAGATTTTCATTACAAACATAAAGGAGGAGGAAAAACTTGTCACAAAAATATGCTCATCTAGTAAGATTTTATAAACCCTGAGAAGAAAGAATATTATATCACATTAATATGGAGAAAATATTTAACTCCTTAAAAAAAATCCACTTTATACAGACAAAACATAACTAATACATTTGGGTTTTAATTACAACCCAATTAATACAAAAACTAACCAAAAATCCAAAAGAACTAGTTAAAGTACTCTTAATTATTAAAACCCTAAATTATATTGATTAGAGCTTATTCACCATGCTAGATTCATATTAATTCCAAATTATTATTTAAATCATATACTTTAATTTCTTATAGACCAAAATATTCACTTTGTTGTATCAAAGCTTCAATCAAGTTCACCCAAGTTATCCCATTTGCTTATACCATGACCAAAATTTGCATCAATTATAATAAACGACGCTTGTCATGCCTTTTATAACTCTCTTAGTTTGAATTCTTGTCATTGGACATTCACCAATGAATTGCTTCTAAATGGCTTTGGTTGGTCTTCTTTATGTCCAATTGTCCATCATATAGTTTTATTCATTTGAATTATGTATATTTCTTATTTTATATTTTAAACTTCAAATAAATTAAAAAAATGCATGAGATACTTGATATCATGCTTGTTACAGGCTTTTAATGTCATTAGCAACCCTAAAATATGTTAACCATGCACTTCCCAAGCACATTGTGGTTCATACTAGAAATCATGTTTGTTACAGGTTTCTGAATGCTGGAATTTTCGGAAACGGGACAGATCAAACTTGCCATACCTTGCCACACAGTGTTACAAGAGCTGCAATGCTCGTGAGAATCAACACCCTTCTTCAAGGCTACTCTGGCATCAGATTTGAGATCCTAGAAGCCATTGTAAAACTACTCAACCACAACATCACACCATGTTTGCCCTTGCGTGGTTCAATTTCAGCCTCAGGTGACTTGGTTCCATTTTCATACATAGCTGGACTCCTCACAGGAAGGCCTAACTCAAAGGCCGTTGGTCCCAATGGTGAAACCCTAAGTGCTGAAGAAGCCTTCCATCTTGCTTCTATTGGGGAACACTTCTTTGAGTTGCAACCTAAAGAGGGTCTTGCACTTGTTAATGGAACTGGAGTTTGTGCTGGTTTGGCCTCTCTAGTTCTATTTGAGGCTAACATCTTAACCATCTTATCTGAAGTCATGTCTGCAATTTTTGCTGAGGTCATGCAAGGAAAGCCCGAGTTCACAGACCATTTGGCACACAAACTGAAGCACCATCCCGGTCAGATTGAAGCAGCAGCAGTGATGGAACACATCTTGCATGGAAGTGCTTATGTTAAAGCAGCACAAAATTTTCATGAGATAGATCCTGTACAAAAGCCTAAGCAAGATAGATATGCTCTTAGAACTTCACCACAGTGGTTAGGTCCTCAAATTGAGGTTATAAGGCAAGCCACAAAATCCATTGAGAGGGAGATAAACTCGGTTAATGATAACCCTTTGATCGATGTGTCAAGGAACAAAGCTTTGCATGGTGGCAATTTTCAAGGTACCCCAGTTGGGGTTTCAATGGACAACACAAGATTAGCCTTGGCAGCCATTGGAAAACTCCTCTTTGCTCAAATGTCTGAGCTGGTAAATGATTTCTACAATAATGGTTTGCCTTCAAATCTCTCGGGGGGTCCTTGTCCAAGCTTGGATTATGGATTCAAGGGTGGGGAGATAGCAATGGCTGCATATTGTTCTGAGCTTCAGTATCTTGCAAACCCTGTCACTAATCATGTACAAAGTGCTGAACAACACAACCAAGATGTGAACTCGTTGGGACTGATCTCTTCCAGGAAGACATCTGAAGCAGTAGAAATATTGAAGCTCATGAGTTCAACCTACCTCGTTGCACTTTGTCAAGCTATAGACTTGAGGCACTTGGAGGTGAATTTGAAGAACACGGTTAAAAACACGGTGAGCCAAGTGGCTAGAAAGGTCTTAACCTTGGGCGTTGATGGGGAGCTTCATCCCTCTAGATTTTGTGAGAAAGATTTGCTCAAAGTGGTTGATCGTGAGTATGTTTTTGCCTACATTGATGACCCGTGTAATGCCACGTATCCACTCATGCAAAAACTAAGGCAAGTGTTGGTGGACCATGCATTGCTGAGTCATGATGGTTTGGAAAGTAGAGATGCTTCCATGTTCCTGAAGATAGGTTCTTTTGAAGAGGCACTGAAGAATGTGTTGCCCAAAGAGGTTGAGTGCACATGGAATGGCTTTGAGAGACGGAGTTTACCTATCCCTAATAAAATTAAGGAGTGCAGATCCTATCCACTTTATAAATTTGTGAGGGAGGAATTAGGAACTGAGTTTCTAACTGGGGAGAAAGTTAAGTCCCCTGGAGAAGATTTTGATAAAGTTTTCAATGCAATTAACCAAGGAATGATGATAGACCCACTGTTTGAATGCCTCAAAGATTGGGATGGTGCTCCTCTTCCTATACGTGGGGAACCCATGATAGACTGATCACTGTAAGGGACACATTTATCGGTGGAATTTAGCACGTCTCACATTTTGAAAGTTCAATAATGTTTTAAACACGTGCAGGAGAGGAGAAATGTAATATCTATTTTATACTAAAATCACACGTGATAATTGATAGAATATTTAAAAAAGTAAATAAAATTTATCTAGTTGAAGTTTAAATTTTAAAACTTTTTCTTCAAAATTGTGAAGGTCTAATGTGTATCCACGCTGAAATTAATCTTTGCTTGTCAATCTCTTGATCGAACAATTTTTCAACAAAGAATATAAGAAAGAAAAAAACTAATTTTCTTATGCTTTTTCTGTGTGTATATACCTCCACAGTAGAGTTGTATATTTATAAATATGTAAACATATTTATTCTCTCAGCAACGGCATCCATATCCTATCTTTTAAAAAATAGGAATTATCAAATATCTAAAAATTAATTTTTATCTTTTTTTTTTTATCAAAATCACTTTTGACTAGGTCAAAATTCAAATTGTCTTTCAATTTGAAATTGAAAAATTGACGTATTTTTCTATCTTAATATAAACTAATATTATTTATATTTTGATGCTAGTAAAAAATAAATAAGTAATATTTTATTTATATGAAAAATATTTATTTGATAAAATCAAATTCTTTAATTTAATTATCAAATAATAAATTTTCGTGAGCAAAGATTAAAACACTTATTAGTGTGTGACCCTGTAAATTCAAAACTAAACCGGTAGTAAATTAACTACATTAATTTACTAATCAAGGTTAGCGTCTAGCAACACTCTTTAACATCTGAATAGTATAAAATAATATTTTCAAGAATCTTTAGAAGATTAACATAAAATTTCCCTCCATCATTTTACCGCTCTAAATTAACTTTAGAATATGGTTTAATTGTCAAATTCTAATAAATTAACATATAATGAAAAATACAAGAAAAATCCTTTTTTCTTTATTATTATTTCAATTTCCTTGGCCAAGGTCTTTATTTTCATTATAGAGCTCAAACCAAGAGTCGATGAATCCCTTCTTGATTAATCATTTAATTCTACAAGAATTTAATTGCACCCAATAATCATTTAACTAACACATTTAGGTATTAGGTGTCCGAAATCAAAATATAATAAATATCTTGTTAATTATTATGATAATCTCAAGTCTAAAGAAATTATATATTTCTTCTTAAGAATTTTCTATTGACAAAATTTTAAGGTAATACATAACTATTAGGAATTCTCTTTTATAGAGTCTGTTCAATAGTCATATCCATATATGCACTATTTATATGAGTAATTTAATAAATGAGATCTATTAATCTCTATCCAATAAAGACTGTTACATATATATTGATCTATGTAGATTAATAATGTTCTATCCTCAATAATCCTACGATTAAAAATAATTTAGATAAAATTAAAAAAAAAATGATAATAAAGCACAATCTTATTAATGCATATTAAATAGATTGGATCTTGGGCATACATCTTATTTCCAACACATTTGTCTCTAAATACATACATACGTATTGATTTGGTACATATAAATCCAATCATATATTAAAATTCATAGATATATAGTAAGAAGTTTATATGGAGTCATGGGTTGCTGGTGTGGAAAAATAGAAAAAACTCAATAAAATAGAGGAGATTGTATTACTCTTGTCGCACAAACTACATGAATTGATACTGTGTTTATAGTAATAAAGTGAGGATAACCATGACGAAACCTTTTAGTTAACAGACAAAATGTATATAATTTCAACAATCCATATATTTGATAGTTACATAAGAATAATGTCCTTTCTAATACTGATTAACGACCCTTTGTTTTCTAATTATTATTTAACATCCCCTTAATAAGAAATTTTTTAAAAGAAATTGCATGCCAAAGTCTTGCTCTCAATTTCTAAAATCTTCAACTTTGAGAGACTTGATATAAATATATACAAGTTAATCTTGAATTTCTTCACATGAACTAGATCTACATCTTTCTTGACAATATATCCTTATAAATGAGATGGTACATTATGTTTATGTGCATGCTTCGTTTATAAAACATTTAATTTTTATGCTGTAAGAAATTGTAGTCACATACTCTACTTTACTGGTAAAAAGTATAAAAGTGATTCTTAGAGTTGTAAGTAAAAATAGGATCACTCATTAAAAATACCCTTGATTAATTAGGAAGTCTTGTCTTTAAGGAAATTAAAAAAACACATTTCTCTTATGTTCTTACCGGAAATCTGTTGTAGAGATGATCCTCTGAGTAAGATTGGTGAGCCTCCTTCGCTAGTACGCTTGATGCTCCAAGATGGGGGTGGTACCTGCAAAAGAGACTCTGATGCTAAAGTTAGTGTTTGTGGGTGTATGAGTCTCGTATAAGTAATGCACGTACCTTTGTGTGTATTAGGATTTTGTTGGGCCTTAGACCCGAGATCAGTTTATGACCTAATTGGATAGCGAGCCGATGTCGCCTAGCGCGTGTCCGAGGTCACTCCGCGCTGTGATGCCGAGCTCAAGCTCGGCATAGCGGTACGGATAGTACACTAGCCCCCCGAGCTCCGAAGACCGTAGGTCGAGGAGTTAAGACCGAGCTTGACAAGGGGTCGTGACTTTTCGCGTACGCCTATTTGTCATGACGCCATGTGTCATAACCGTCACCTCGTTCCCATAACGCGTGGGCAGCGCGGTGACAAGATTGTATTTTTATTTGTTTGATGACGTGGCCTCTTTGGGCCGATGTGGTGTTCCGATGTCCATGTTTCATGGTCGGGCTGAGGAGCTCGACAATAATGAGCTTACTGCTTGGTTAGGCTGGTAAACCTTTGACCGAATCAGCAGATTGGTGAGGGACAAGTCGGCAACTCGGCTGGCCAGTACACCTTAGATTTTCACATTAGAAGAATCACTAGAGGAAAAATTCCCTATTGCCATTTCTTAAAGCATTGAGAATATGGAAGAAACAACTACAACAAAAAGAAAATATCAAAGAACTAGAGACAACCGGAACTAAGAAGAGGAGGGACGAATATAAAACAAATAACAGGGAAAGTTGAGAAGAAGAGAGAAGCAAAGGAAGTTGTTGTTGCTGAAATGGTACAATGAATGAGAAGAAAGAAGCGTATAGTTTTCAAACAATTAGGATATGGATAACAAACTATCATGGCATGTTTTTGTTAGAGAATGTTCAAAGTATCTTACAAGGAGATAATACTAAAACAAAAACCTTATTCCGCTTGGTGAGGTCGACTACATGGATTACACGATTTCATTAGGGTTACTTAATCCTCATAGATCTTATTCATCATGTGATTCCTCTTAAAAACTTCCTGCAATGTTCTTCTTGGTCTGTTTTACAGAACTAAAAATCATGCAATCTACTCCTTCGGCACAACCATCCCCCACATGTAAGACGTTTTTTGCCTCACCTTATTTACCCACGAAACAACTTATGCCTCCTGCGTTTCTTATATCCCCTTCGTTTCCAAAATTAAATGTTTAGGACTACTGGCGTTCTAGTTAGACTGTTGCGAGCGTAACAAAAAAAAAATATGCCGGTAAATATAATCTTTTAAATTATTTATTTTAAAAATATATTTTTTAATTTAAATTGGCCAAAAAGACCCATAAACACTTATCATTATTTTTTTACGGTGGTGAATACTCTAGAGACGGAAAAAAAAAAACACTTATCATTATTTTTATTATTGAGTGCTTGCAATAGTATTGACTCTCCATCCTTTTCTTTATCACGCATAGTAGCTCTTTCTTTAACATTAGCTCTACAGCCCAAGAAAAACACTATACTTACAACAATTATAACATTCGACATTAAGTTTATCATGTTTCTTTTCATTTGTTTCTACCAAAATTTTCTTTTTCCTCTTCCTCTGCCATGGCCACTTTGACTTTAAAGACTTATTCCAATGGTTCATCATATTTTCTCTTAAAACCCTCCATATGATTGAAGTAAACTCGTCATTATTGATACTAAATCATTTGACTCTTTAATCGCACGAATCACATAATCAATTTTTTCTATTAAAAAAAAAACTCTACTACATGAACTTCTTCCACCGCTTCTCCATAGCGCTTTATTTGATTCACGATCATCATTATCCTACTCGTTCATGTGCAAAGATTCAAGCCATCTAAGCGGAAGAAATTAACATTTGATTGGAATATTAATGCATAATAGAAAACTATCTAAAATTTTGGATTCAATATTTACTCGAGTACCAAGACATTCCACCTTAAAAGGGCACTACGTAGGTCTATCACAAACTCCATTTTGAAGCAATACCACATTATAGTTACATCTATTTGTCTCTTCCAGATCAAGAGATATGGTATGATGCGTTAGATGATCCCAATTCTTCGTGCGTTGAGGATGAATTATATGTTGGGCTATGTTTTTCATATAAAAGCTGATGTCTAAAATAAATGACTGTTAAATACTACTCTATGAGTGCTCACCAGACAATTGTAATTGTTGAGTCTGGATTGAATGTTTTGTCTGTACGATACCTTAATAGTAATGAAGGTTACCCTTGGAAATTAAGGACCATTATGTCCACCAAATACAATAACAAGTGGGTCATAAAGAAATAGGATGGTCGACACACATGCATTAATGAAATGTTGTCTCGAGATCACAACAAATTGGATTTCGAATTCATTAGCTTTGGCATATTAGATAACTTTATCTATTTATACTCTTCAAATATTTAAAAATAAAGATTATTTTCGAAATAACTATTAGTAGTATGCTTAACATTTCATTTCAAAAATAGTTGAGAAAGATGATTCCATATCAATTTCATTAATTCAAGAAAGAATAAGTGGATAATTTAATTATAAAGTTTCATACAAAAAGACTTGAAAAATAAAACAAAAAGTCATTTCAAGAGTTTTTGATAATTAAGAAGATTCATACAACCTTTTGCCAAGGTAGTTAGATATATAGGATGCTAAAATGTTGTCTTGAGTTTGGTAAATGAAAATTATTTTGATATCTACTAAATTTTAATCATAAAAAAATTTCTCACTAATATTTTTTTAAAACTTAAAATAAACATAAATA